CATCTCAAATTCTTCTTTTTCCTCTCAAAATCTCCTTGGCCATTGTCCATATAACTAATCACGGCTCTTTCCTAGACCTCCTTTACCTTAGCCCTCTACATTGAAGCCATTAGTGACAACAGCCTTCCCTCATTTGGTACCCTTCAAGTGTTTTGGATTCAGTGCTGGCTGGGGAGTTTTAAATCCCAATGCATCTGAAGGGCAGCATCTTGGTGAAGGCTGCTTTACGAATTTGCAGGAATGCAGCTCTTGCTCTCTAACAAAAAAGTTAGCTGATAGTTTAAGTCACCTCTCCCATTTCTGGACTTCTGTTTCATTTGAGGTCCCTTATCTCCATTTAATATAGGTAGTCCCCAGTTTAAGAATGAGCTCCATTCCCAAGGTCTGACCTTAAGTCAAATTTGTACGTAAGCTGGAACAGTATGATTTCATAATACTGTATAAGTAGTATTGTGTAATGAATTTGAACCATTGTGTATTTAACTCAAACCATTGTGTATTTAACTTGAATTTTGCTACAATAGGCTCATTCTTAACTATGGTCATCTGTAAACTGGACATTCTTAACTGGGGGACTACCTGTACTTGGACGCCAAAATGCTTTTATTTCTCTGATGATGTGACATTATAACTTTAAGTGAAAACATAGATACTGCCTGTCCATTCATAAATTCTGCAGAAGAATGTCAGAGGTATAACCTTTAAAGATGAACATGTTTACTTTTCCTTTAATTTCTTCTTCCACTTGTTTCTTCACTTCGCTTTTTTTCATTTCCTGATCTTAAGCCCCAGAAAACAGATCCTTTTATTATACATTTAGCAAGAATCTGTTTTTCCACCCTGTTGGCACAGATAGCTCTTCCTCCTCCAATTTATTCCCCACAACAGCAATCCCATTGGACAGAGAGAATGGCTACTCTGACACCAGAAAGCTTCCATGCTAGGAGGTAGGCTTCATTTTAGAACTGTCCAAACTGTCTCATGCTTTAACTGCTAGCTTATATTAGCTCCCATTCCATTTTATGGAGTTGCACACAATTACCTGACTCTGTTCTGTAGGGTTACTCCAGAAAACAGAAATCAAAACAAATCCGTGCAATTGCTCAAGAGCAGCCTTAACTATGAAACTTACCAGCACTAGTATTTCAAAATGAATAAAACCAAACCACATTCTTCTATTTTCTTCACCGTTACTTCAGTTTGTAGAAAGGTAACAGAAGTCCATTTTTCTTCACACCCTTCTTGTCATTTCAAAGTTGTATTGTGGGGTGCTATCAGAATACTGAACTGCCCTCTCCCTATTTCAAATTCCTTCTCTTTAATAAACTCAACTTTGCAGACCACAAATAGCCCAGCGTCCAAAATGCTTAACACAGCACTGCTTATACTGGAATCCAAACTGCTAACCTTGTGCAGCAAAGTGCTTTGCTTTTTGCGAGAACAATTAACATCATATTATGACCCCCCCCAAATTAGAGATGTCACACCACCAACCGCATCCCTTGCTGCCCTCCCTGAACATTTTTCAAAACAAACAGAACAAGGGCTTCAAAGTCCCCCAATACGACATAAAGACAACAACTCACATGATAGATCTAGAACAATGTGTCTTAAAGCACATTGGGGTCCCCCAAAACCTCCCAGGGGTCCACGAAACCCACATGATTGGCCAGCCTATGTTGAGGAGAATAATACCATATTAAAATCCCACCAAACAATCGTGAGAAGAGGCAGCGGCGACGAGCGCATCCCTTTTCATTTTTCATATGGCAAATATCAGCAACTGTAACCCACACCAACGAAAGCGTCTTTTGGGGTGCTGCCTGATTTTCAAAAGGTGGAAGGGGTCCTCAGAGCAAAAAGTTTAAGACACGCTGGCGAACCGCAGAAACCAGGCGCCTGTACCCCTCGGAAAGCCTGACCCAGCTGCTGCCGACAAAGAAAGGAAGAAGGGAGCAATCACCTTCCTGAATGTGAAGGGCCTCCATCCTCCGGACGCAAAGAGGGCCTT